CTAATGACATGTGTGGACGTCCACACAATTGATACCAGTTGGGTTGAAGATGTGCTGTTGTTGGACACATTTTTCACCTCATGACTTCTAAAATCTGTCTAGAGTGAAGTTAGAAGGGCTTCTGTTACATCTTCATATTCACACCGCAGACTCTGAGTGATGGGTTTCTCCAGTGTGTCGAGTGAAACAAGCTTCCCCTGAGACGCAGTTTGCTTGTTAAGAGATTATGTCTGTGGTATCATACCTCAACATACAAATTTGATTAGTATTATTACACTACTAACATGAAGGAGCCACCACCTAGTGGAGGAGCTACACTGCAGCCTGTCTAATAAATACAAGATCATAAATATTAAAACACTGCTCTCTGTGTTGTTTATGGTAGGTCACTGTCTAGTTTTTCTCAGCAATGCAAACATAATATTTTGTCTGTCATATCTGCTCTATGTTGTTTCCCAACAAGTTTGTCAATAGTTGGTCTGGATCTTCTCACAGCTGCTATTGTTTTCTGATTGATTGGTGATGACATGATGTGTCCTTTAAAGAGATCACTGCTGTTATACATTCGCTAAGAAAGGCTTCACGCAAAAACAGTTGAGCAGATTTGTCAGCCTTGATGGTAAATAAAATGAAACCAAAAGTTCAACACATCAACACATTATTTAGCTGTTTCTGGCTACTTGAAGGCCACCTTCTTTTTGAATGAGTTTACATGGATTGCTTTATCTGCACATTTAGTTCTTCAGATAGTCCTTGATGCCCCATTGGAAATCCAAATATCCTCCCAAGACAATGCTAAGGTGCTGAAACTTAAGTGTGTAAGTGCAAATGGAAAAAAACATGTGAAACGAATCTGAGGTGAACCGATAATTCAGGTCTTGAATGTTAACTTTGCGTGAAATTCCAAAATCATGAGAGAATCCATCTTGCCAGGCTTCAAGCTATGTGCTTGTGTCCAAACACTGTGGTTACAGACAAATCTGTGTCCTTAGACGAACTACTGGCAGTAAGACATGAGCTATGGGTGAGGTTAAATGCTCAGTGTGTGTGACGATGTTTGTGAGAAGTGACACGAAATCAACAATGGTTAATGTAGATGCTGCTAGCATCAGTTATATCAGAACTGGAGAGTATTTCTTAATTGAAAGAAGAGTAAAAAACGGCACTGAAGGCTTTTCTCGATGGAAAATATGTTTTATTATTTTCCCAACTGGCTATAGGAAGAGTTTGACTACTTATTGTTATTATATGGTTTGTGCAATCACTTGCCAAATATGTTTTGAAAGTGTCCTTTTCCCAACAGTTTCCAATGACAACTTCCCAGATGGTTCTGTGTAACAAACCATCTGGGAAGTTGCCAGCCCAAACATTTCATTAGAATGAATGGAGAGCACAAAGTTGAAGAAGCTATTGTAATTTAAGGGAGAAATCTGTTGGCAGAACTAAA